AGTCTATTGCCTTAATAATGTTAGGCATTACCCTTAAATCCTAGGATTTTAACTTAAATTCTGAAAATTATGTGTAGGCATTAATGTTAATGTCTAAAAAGCATTAATGTTAATGCCTAAAATAAAAATGAGAGTCAATAAAAAGAAATTTATTCAAAGTTAAAATATATTTGGTACATAATTAGTGCCAATGAGACAAATATCCATCCAAGTCACAATGTGTAAAAAGTAAACAATTATATGTCAAAGTACGACCTTCAACACGGAGCCTTGGCTTACACCGAACAGCAAGCTATAAAGGGCCCCAAAAATGACTAGTGTAAAACAATTCAAACAGGAAAACCAACGGTCTTATCTCTAATATAAAAAAACGAGAAACACTTATGAACCACACCAACAAACGACAAGCACAGATCAACAGGCTCCTGACGTAGGACAGGTGCATAAAAATGCAGCGGGTTTAAACGTTTTAACAGGCGCCAACCTTCACCCTAAACTGAAACAGTGGTATAACATTACAACATAAAAAGACACACTATGAAATATCAATTAAAATGGCTTAACTCGAACAGAAAGACAATACACAAAAAAAGTAAATATACACTGAACGAATACGTTTTATCTATGACACAATATAAATAAAAAAGATGTTTCAATGTCAAAAAGATAACTTTAACCTAGGACAAAATGGCGTTAAATAAAGTAACGTACACAGGTAAATTTAAATATAATAATTTTGTTGTTAGTACAGAAACATTTTTTACAAAATAAATTTGTTATTCATAGTACGAGTACAGAAGTGAATTTTTTTTTTCGTCATATTAAATACTTATCAAAGGTGTTACATATTAAAAATAGTAAGACGAGATATAACACAAAATAAGTAAACATTGAATAACAGAAATGCATTACAAATTGTGTCAACAGGTCAAATTAACACGAAAGTACGATTCGAGAGTACTCGCAGTTACTAAATAGATATAGGAAGATGTGGTATGAGTGCCAATGAGACAACTCTCCATCCAAGTTACAATTTATAAAAATAAACCATTATAGGTCAAGGTACGGCCTTCAACACGGAGCATTGACTCACACCGAACAGCAAGCTATAAAGGGCCCCAAAAATTACTAGTGTAAAACCATTCAAACAGAAAAACCAACGGTCTAATCTATATAAAAACGAGAAACGAGAAACACGTATGAACTACATAAATAAAAGCTAGTTAAGAGCCAAAAACAATTAACAACAAAAAATCATGCATCAGAGCCTTAAATCAATTAAAACACAACATGTCATTTTTCATATCAGACCCTTCATTGGCCCTCGTTCATGATACCATCCCTCGAGCCTTTCGGCTCTTGGGCTGATACCATGACATCATGCCGATAAAGGGTCTGATATGAAAAATTCCATGTAATAATCTACACTTATCAGGTTGTCTGCATATTGATATTGTAAAACATCGATCAGCTGCGAGTCACAATATGAAGCTTTTTGTTGAGTGAGTGCAGCGAACGAATTCAAAAAGGCTTCATATTGTGTCGAGCAGCTGATATTTTAATACCGATAATGCCTGCTGACATCTCAAAGCCGTGATACGAGAATTATACGAAGCGACTGAGCCGAAGGGAAGGATGATAATGCTCTCTATACGTTACATAACACTTGAAACAACTCTGTCGAGGGTCCAAAGGGGGCATTTTGACTGACAAAGTTTCTTTTCATGTCTAATATACTCTTCTTTTCCAGTTGCAGTCGAAATTCGTGCTTTCATCTTGGTCGACCCATTCTGCAGAACCTATTTTGGAAATTTAGTTTGTGTCCTTGTCATGACTATGCATGAAATGTGTGTCACTTGATGTTAGGCAAACAAAAATCAATCGATCAAACCTCTATAAAATTCAACCTTTTTTTATTTGTAAATGCTGAAAACTATATATCGTTGTTTTGCCTTAACCTTCCATTCCCTTTCCCCATCGCGGTCTTTGAATTTATTCAAATTATTTGTCTCTGTAGAAATAAGAACCCATGACTCTATGTCATAACTTTGTAATATCAGATTAGGAATGCAGAATGATTTGTCAGTTCAAAATATGACAATTTTTCTATTAGATTGATTTGAAAATTGAATAGTTATTATCTTCTTGGCGTTAACCTTAATCTTCCTAATCTATATAATATTATGTAGTATAAAGCTTTTACTATTCCAAGTTCCCCCTTCGGTACCTCGAATGTATAAGATTGCACCCTCACTCTTAGTCTCATCGTCACTCGATTGGAGGTCATACGATCGTGCAGACGCATAATGGATCTCCTAAACATGATTAAGCAATATCGATCGGACAAGGATCCTAAATTTCAAGAATTTGACGGGAAGTGTTTGATTACATTCAGTAGAGAAGACTTATTGCAAGTAGCCACCAAGATAAAGTTGCATTTAAATGACATTCTAGTGCTTCTAGATATAGACGACTCTAGAGAGAATCTATGCAAAGTTGTGAGTTTTGCATTGGAGCAGAAAGACGAATTGAAGGAAGATACGGTTACACAGGAACCTCCTAAGAAAAAGGCTAAAACATCAGAAAACAAATCGTCAGGGGTGAGTTTTCGAATCTTATTTGATATAGCAACGGTTCATGAGAAGAGAATACGATGAGTGTAAAAGTTAATTAATACAGATATTAACGTATTATGTAGTCATAGTATATGGGTATATATTGTGTATTTTAGTTTGGAATACAAATTATGAAAGTGTTAGAGGAAATTTATCGGAACGCCAGTTGTACGTCTGTGGTATTTTCATACTGAATATGGGACGAAAATGTTACATATTAATTAAATAATTTGTTCACATTTGAACGGGCACATATAGGCCTATTTTACGGTTTAAATATTTGTTTAGAAAGGTGAGAACGGAAGAATGGAAAGTTCTTTAAGTTAGGCCAATAAAATGTTTGTTTGGGTACTTGAATGTGAAGACAAAGAAAATCTAGTAATTTATTATATTTTTATGTTTCTATAAATTTTAAAAGAATGCAATTTGTCTAGAGTTTGGGTTAAATGCTCGAACGTGAATAGAAAAGATAAAAGGAAATTGTTAGTTTTTTTTAAATATAATAAGGAAAGAAAACATATAAGTTTTGGATATTTTATTTTTTATTTAACGATTATTGTGTCTGGGCATGCTGCTTGGATGAAAAAAAAAAATAATGATGTAGATACTTTTAGAAGAAAAATGTTGAAGTTTTGAACTTGTAAAAGTATTTGCGGTGAAAATATAATACGAAAAGAAAACATATGATTTAAGATATTTTTATTTTTTATATAACGACTATTGTTCGGGCTTTTACTCCGAACGTGAATATTGTTCGTGCTTTTATGCCGAACGTGGAAATTGTTCAAGCTTTTATGCTGAACGTGAATATTGTTCAGGCTTTTATGCCGAACGTGGAAATTGTTCAAGCTTTTATGCTGAACGTGAATATTGTTCAGGTTTTTATGCTGAACGTGAATATTGTTCAGGCTTTTATGCTGAACGTGAATATTGTTCAGGCTTTTATGCCGAACGTGGAAATTGTTCAAGCTTTTATGCTGAACGTGAATATTGTTCGTGCTTTTATGCCGAACGTGGAATTGTTCAAGCTTTTATGCTGAACGTGAATATTGTTCAGGCTTTTATGCTGAACGTGAATATTGTTAGGCTTTTATGCTGAACGTGAATATGGTTCAGGCTTTTATGCTGAACGTGAATATGGTTCAGGCTTTTATGCTGAACGTGAAAATGGCTCAGGCTTTTATGCTGAACGTGAATATTGTTCAGGCTTTTATGCCGAACGTGGAAATTGTTCAAGTTTTTATGCTGAATGTGAATATTGTTCGTGCTTTTATGCCGAACGTGGAAATTGTTCGAGCTTTTATGCTGAACGTGAATATTGTTCAGGCTTTTATGCCGAACGTGGAAATTTTTCAAGCTTTTATGCTGAACGTGAATATTGTTAGGCTTTTATGCTGAACGTGAATATGGTTCAGGCTTTTATGCTGAACGTGAATATGGTTCAGGCTTTTATGCTGAACGTGAAAATGGCTCAGGCTTTTATGCTGAACGTGAATATTGTTCAGGCTTTTATGCCGAACGTGGAAATTGTTCAAGTTTTTATGCTGAATGTGAATATTGTTCGTGCTTTTATGCCGAACGTGGAAATTGTTCGAGCTTTTATGCTGAACGTGAATATTGTTCAGGCTTTTATGCCGAACGTGGAAATTTTTCAAGCTTTTATGCTGAACGTGAATATTGTTCGTGCTTTTATGCCGAACGTGGAAATTGTTCGAGCTTTTATGCTGAACGTGAATATTGTTCAGGCTTTTATGCTGAACGTGAATATTGTTCAGGCTTTTATGCTGAACGTGAATATGGTTCAGGCTTTGATGCTGAACGTGATGTTGTTCGGGGTTTTATGCTGAACGTAAATATTGTTCGGGCTTTTATGTCGAACGTGAATAGAGAGACAGAGAGAAAAAATATTTTGATTTATTGTGTTTGGGCATGATGCTTGGGAGTGAAAGGAAAAAGGATGACGAAGTTGTTAGTAATTTTTCAAGATTAATGTTTCTGTACGTGTACTGATTATTTGTAAGAGGTTAAGATAAAATGATCTGGAATGAGAAAAAAAAAATCTGTTTTCTATAGAGAATTACACAGTTACACACATTTGTGGGTTCAGGATTCGTGTTTAAACGTGATAAGGAAGAATTTACTTGGTTGTATTATGTAAAGTAGAGAATATCACAAAAGAAATTTGTTCAGGATCATGCTTGAATGTCAATAGAGAACATGGTGTTTTCAAATGTTCGTCTACATGATGTTTGTACTTTAGAAAGGTGTTATCTTTTAACTAATAATGAGAATTTAAAAAATGCTAAATAAAAAGTTGGGACACTGTTATGGGGGTAAAATAAAAAATAGAAAGTTAGATAAGTGAAAAAAAAAAAAAAAAAAAACCCAAAAAAACAAGACAAAAAAAAACAAAAAAAAAAAACATAAAAACTAAAGAATAAAAGCTTTGATGATAATGGACAATTAACATGTATAAAAAGTAGGCCCCCCCCCCTTTAAGTTGATTAATGGTTGATTTATATAGCAATATATTAATTGATATCATAATTGTTCTGTTTATTTACATTTAGGATAAACACTTTGTACACTATTTTGTAATGCGTGTAGGTGGGAACAAATGTCCGAAACTAAAAGTTAAAAAATAATTACAATTTGGCTACAGAGCTTGAGATTGTATCAAGTTGTTAATGACGCTAAAAGAAGAATTTATAATTATAAAATTAAAATAAAAAAAAAATAGAAATAAAAATCAGAATAGTATATATATAACTTATAATTTAGCTCTTAAGAAAAAAAAAGAAAGATATAGAGAGAAAAAAAAAGACAAAAAGAAATAATAAACAACAAATGTTAATTTTTGACACATAATAAATTACTGATTGAACATGTTGATAATGTTAGTGGTAATGATAAATTGTATACAAAGTAAATTTTCTGGTTCAGACACTAATTGGATGTTGTTTGATGATCAGCTGTGGATCAATAATCTGAATATGATCGAAGTTCACATCAGCAGGGCGTATGTTTAAACATGCGGTCAAACATAGACACTTGACAGTTACATGTTTTCAAAAATATCAATATTTTATTAGCAGCAGGTTTCAGTAACATGTTTGCAATAATATTAAGCCCTTGGGTTGCATCAAAGGTTAATTTGCGTGGGAAGGTGGCATTAGTTAATATGTTTCATTTGAAGGTTTATAAACTTGTTATTTACGTTTAATTATCAAAAAAGGAAATTAAAGGAAAAGAAAAGTAAAGAAAAATAAAATATAAATAAAAAAAAAAAAAAAATTAATGGTAGTACATACACTAATGTACGTATGCATGTTTCAATAATTTAAATCACTGCCTCAATACTAATTAACAGGCATGTGCAGTTTCAAGTTTAGATGTGTGTGATGTCACCACAAATACTAGTAAGGTGTTTAAGATTTTAAATTCTAAGCAAGATCATTGCATGTTTTATAACAAGTCATGTCAATGGATGTGAAGCAAAGGGATCTGATGATCAATTAAGCTAATTGATAATTATTTCTTGATAAATATGTGATTTATTTGTGCAAATTCATTTAAGTGGAGTGGTGTATATATGATCATAAATCTATAAAAAAAAAGCATGCCTAAAGGAAACGGTTATGAGAAACTCGATATGTGCGTTACTAGAAGGTATGAAATATTAGTTTATTCAAAATATGATATGTAAGTAAATTTTAACAATGGTTCGAGGTGATTTTGGCGTGTTGAATATAAACCATGTGTTAGATCAATGCTTGAAATTAAAAACAGATTACTTTGATTTATTTGTTTAGATGAATACATTAGAAGATAAAATAGCAGATCTTGAGAAAAAGTTAGAGAAGAAGCAAGCTGATGACGAATTATCTGAATTTGAAAGGGCCAAGAGAAATGTTAAAGATGAGGCTGCTAAAGGAAAGGTGGATATTGATGTCTTACATGAAAGATTAATATTGCTAGACAATTTAGCGCGAAAGCAAAATCATGATTTGAAGGACAAAATAAATTTGATTTTAAGTAGATTTCATATTCACAAAAATAGACCGAATTTTGCAGCAGCGTTAGTACTAAAACTTGTGTGCAACAAAGAAGAGGAAGCGGTGCTTGATAAAGAACAGAAGTTACTTAAGACATTTGGTTTGAATGATGTTCATAGTGACAATTATAATATGCAGTCACATAATTTTAATTTGCATGGGCCTGGTTTTATGGGAGGTTCTTTTGGACAAACACAAGGTCACACTTACGGAATGCCTCCTCGTTTTTCAGGTTCACCTCGTCGCGGTAGGCCTCGTGGTAATAATCACAATCTGTGTTTTAAATGTAATAAGCCTGGTCATTTTGTTCGTGATTGTACAGCTACACTGGTTCCCACAAGTTTAAATTAAATCGTTTGACGTAATTAGCAAGTAACAATTTCATTCTGTTAGTTAACAAATTCCTACTTATTTCATTTCAGGATAAATTTCGTTTAAAACCATGGGAATTTGATATTAATTTGGGAACAGATCCTACGTCAGTTACAGTTAGACAACCGACTTTCGTTAATTTTGAAAACAAAATAATTGATAATGATAGGGAGGTAAATTCAGCAGAGGAGGTTTATTCAAAAGCTACGGATGGTGTATCTCCAGATATACGAAACGTGAAATTCTTTAACCCGAAGACTTTTGTAGCCGGACAAATTCACACTAGGTTGCATCAATGGCAAAAGATATTACCTTGTTCGCATTCTTCAGATGAAATTTTGGATTGGCTAGTTCACGGTGTAAATATTAATAACTATATTGTACATTTTAAAGGAGATTTCTGGGGGCATTTTTATGATGATAAGTTCCCACCTTGCAGAATATTCAATAATTCGAATAAATGCAAAAAGTTTTCTACTTTCATAACAGAAACAGTTACGGAAAGATTGAAAAATGGTTCCATTGAATGTATAGGAAAAGTAGGTTTAGTAAAACCACCCCACATTGTCGCACCGTTAACCGTAGAGCCGACAAAACCTCGACTTTGCATTAATCTAATGTATTTGAATAATTGGATCAAAGATATACCTTTTAGTTTAGACACTTTAAAAAATGTACATCGATCTGTCAGAGAAAATGCATATTTTACTACAATAGATGATAAATCAGGTTTTGATAATGTTTCGTTATCCGAGGATTCCCGAAGGCTAGTGGGTTTCCAGTGGGGTGCCTTTTATTTTATTTGCAAAACGTTACCGTTTGGTTTCAAACTATCTAGCTACATTTATCACACTTTAAATCTGCAAGCAACATCTTATATTAGAAGGAAATTTTTGATCCCTGTACATTTGTATATAGATGATCGTCTTATAGAGGAAGTAAGAAAACCTGGTTTAAAGACAGGGTTCAGTTGCTCTTTATTGGCAAATTACATCGTTTGTGAAGTGGTAACTAGATTAGGATATTGCATTAATTTAGACAAAACTGTGTTCATCCCGTCACAATCAGTAGTATTTTTGGGATTTGTAGTTGATTCTGTAGCTAGATGTTTCAGAATAACTGAGTCAAAAAAACAAAAATTTATTACTTTACGCGAGAATTGTTTAGGAAAAAGTGTTGTTACGGTGCTAGATTTACAAAAAATAGTGGGTCGCTGTATTTCTTTTATGTTAGCTGTTCCGGCAGCAAAACTTTACACTCGAGAGATGAACAATGCAATCTCATTGGGAATCCGCAAACAAACAAGTATTCCAATGACAAAAGATTTAAAAGACGAGATTATTAATTGGCGATTTTTGGATTCATGGACAGGAAAGTTGGAATGGAAAAAAGAACGGCATTTAGTTGTAAACATTTATACAGACGCTTCTATGTACAAATGGGGTGGATATTTCAAAATAAACGACAGAGAGCACAAAGTCGGCAATTCGTGGGCACAGGAAATGTTATCGCTTCCTATTATGGTACTAGAGGCTAAAGCTTTGTTAAATGTATTAAGGTCAATACGGGAAGACATAAAGGGTAGTCGGGTTGACGCAAACGTAGACAATCAGGCCTTGATAGGTGCTTGGAATAACGAAGGTTCCAAATCTATGATATTGAATTCTACTCTCAAAGACATTTTTCAATTGACTTTAGATTTAGACGTAATGCTTAATTTACATTTTGTACCATCTAAATTGAATTTAGCTGATGAGCCATCGAGAAAACTTAGCAAATCAGACGCGACTTTAGATAACGAGACATGGTATAAAATACAAGAGTTTTTTGGTGGAAATACAGGACATACGATCGACTTGATGGCTTTAGATTCTAATAGCATGACAGACAGAAACGGTGGTATTCTAAAACATTTCACGCCATGTTTTTCTCCTTTGTCAGCACTTGTAAATTTGTTTGCCCAAACTGTGGATACAAATGAAAACTGTTATGTATTTCCTCCTTTTGCGTTATTATTACCGGTGTTATCTTTTATCAGGGAGAATATGTTAAATTGTACCGTAATACTGCGTGTCGATGGAGTAATAGCCGCATGGGTTCCAACATATTATGAATTTATACAAGATGCTTTTATTGTTGGTAACAAGGGACAAAGGGGCGTTTTAAAGTATCCTACCAAGAAAGGTTATGTCCAAGATGGTTTTGGGTTACCTGGAAATCTGTGGGCAATTCGTATAAAAGGAAAACCATCCGTTCGCATTAATTATGGGAAATTATTATTTCTTAATGAACCACTTGTTTCTAATAAATTTCACTTGATATGTGTTGGTGATTCAATGATACGATTTTTAGAATGGCAAAAAGATTTTAATAACCCAATGGTAAATGTTTCTTCACAAAGTTGTGCTCTAGTGTGTGAAATAACACCAAAAGTTGAGAGGCTAATTAGGACACACCCGCCTAGGCTTATTTTCATTCATATAGGTGTTAATAATGTTAGCAAATCTTTCTTGTTTAAGTATGAGTTCAACCAGTTATGGATAACAACACAAGAATTTGAACATCTAGCGCAAATATTACAGCGTACATTAGAAAGTAATTGGCACGTATCTGTTGTATTATCAGCGATAATCAGGTGTAAAGATGAGGCTATAAATGCAAGATCGACCATTATCAATGAAAAGATAGAAAAGTTATGCAAGCGCAATTGTTGGATGTTCATGGATAATTCAAACATTAATTGTAGACATTTTAGAGATCATGTACACTTGAACGAAGAAGGTCAATCAATTTTTCTCAACAATTTATATAATGTGTTTAAAAATGTTTTGTGAATTTCTGGTTTGTAAATATGTATATGTATATATGTGTTTATACTGCACTCGTTCTATTTGAGCAGTCAAAATGCGTTGACCGTATATTTCTATGTCATATACAGTCACTGACCTGATATCACTTTTCCTCATGAATATTTAAATAGAAATTGCCGAAATTATAATTAATTATTCATACGACCTATTCAACCTGTTCTTGTTTCCAATGTATACAACGACTCAAACTTATTTCTTTTGCAATTTTTAGAAGAACATATTTCACTTGTTAATATTTTTGGTTTGCAAACTATAATAAATCATTATGTTTTATGCTTATTGTTGATATTTTAGTTCATTCTCAAACAAATTCGTTCACCATCGATTGCGGGTTTCAACAGGTAATGTACATTTCATTGTGTTGTATATTTCTCTGCCTGTATGATATGAGGCCTTTTTATAAAAGGGGGAAGTTTCCCAATATTTAAATTAAATAATAACATTAACACATTAAACAACAATTGAAAATGTTTATTTTTTTTATTGCAGTATAAAGACAATAATAGTGCATTGACTTGACATATCAACGATATAAGGATTCGGCCCGAAACGGAGAAAAAGCTCGGCAGAGCCTCGCATTTCCCCGTTTCTAAGCCTCATCCTTATATCGTTGATATGTCAAGTCAATGCACTATTATTGTCTATATGTGTGTGTATATAAAATTTGGAAGTCAACACTTAGTAATGTGTTTTGGTTATTATTATAAGGTTTTTTATATATTGTTTTAGGAATATCTCATGAAAAAAATTTGGTGTCCCTACATAACGTGTTCAAGATGTGCAGTAACTAATGACATAGATTTTAAATATTGCAAAGCGTGTGGTTTTGCTAGGGAGAATAAAGCTACTGACTACCAAGATGAAATACAAAAAGAGGAGGTTTTGAATAAAATAAACAATAGAATTAGTCAACTAGATGCTCTCCTAGATTCAGCTAGTTATTCTTAACAGAAATGCAGTTTGAAGAACGAGATGGAAATTTTTTTCATTTTTTTAGATTCGCGAAAAAATATTAATAATGCAAGTCCAGAAGATATTAGAAAATTTCTCATTTTCAAAGAAAAGGGTGGGAAAACGCAGTTACATGTAACCAACTGTCCTTTGCGCACTAAACACGGCCTTCAAGTATGCAAATGCCCAAGGACGTTGGCATCAAAGTCTGTTGATTCTTTACTAGGCAAAATCAGAGCACTATTCAGAGATGAGGGTCGATCAGGCGAGTGGAATCCTATGCTTCTTACGGGTAACCCGGCTGCCTCACATTTGTTAAAAAAACATTTGCAGGTCATAAATCAGGAACAGGCTAACGCTAGCATTTCTGTAAAACAAGCTACTCCATTAATGTTTAGTAAGTTAGGAAAGTTATGCAGACATTTATCATATCGAGTTTCAGTAGAGGTAGATCCTATTTCGAAATTTCTGTATGCAAGAGACCTGGCTTATTTTTCAATTTTATGTCATTCTGGTAGTAGAGGGGGAGATCTTGGTTTATTGACTGCAGATAGATGTTTTCAAATACCTGACTCGGATGGGATTTTTGTGTCGCAAACGGCTGGTAAAGTCGCTACTTTAGATAATCCAAGAAATTTCATAGTCCTTCCTTCAAAGGACTCTGATATTTGTCCGGTCAAAAACTTTAAAAAGTACATTACCAACGCTAAGGAGTTAAGCATTACTCTTATGGAAGGATATGTTTTCCGTATACGAGACAAAGGGTCACGCAAAATTGTAAATGAACCAGTTACTTCATCTTGCATGACAGAGAGACTTAAATTGCATTTAAATGTGTTAAAATTATACGAAGGGGAAACTTCCCACAGCAGTAGAAGAGGATGTGCAATTACATTACGTATGCTAGGGGTTAATGATGAAGCAATTAATCAACACGTAGGGTGGGGCACAAAACATATGGTTGATCATTATGCCAATGTAGGGAAATTGATAAGTCCTAAAGAACCGGCTTCAGTTTTGTCGCAGGCTGCGGAAAATTTGGATAAGGGAAATTCTTCGTTTGATAAAGTTGCAAATCAATATACTGATTTGAGCAAATTGAAAAGTTTCAGCTTCAATTAATGATGTTTATGTTGAAACAGTTAAGGCAATATAGCAAATGTTCTGACATTGGAACATACTTCTATTTATAAGTATTGGATATGGTTTAGAATGAGTATTGTTGTATAATAATGAAGTTTGAACATTAAATACGGTTTTGTATTTGGTCAGTTATGTAATATTATTTCACCGAGGCCCATTTTACACATCGTTGGTTTGTTGAATCCAATATCTTATATATGAGAGGAACCGTTGTGAACTTGTAATATTCCACTATTCCAAGTTCCCCCTTCGGTACCTCGAATGTATAAGATTGCACCTTCACTCTTAGTCTCATCGTCACTCGATTGGAGGTAAGAAGTAGAGCATGATCGCTATGTGGATCGAATACACTTGCATTGTCCATTTAGTGGTTATTATGCAAAAACAAAACAAAAACAACAAAAAAAACCAAAAAAACCAAACAAACAACAAAAACAAAACAAATAAGCAAAAAAGAAATGAAAAAAAAACAAAAAACAGTTTGTTACTAGTTGTTAGTTGTCTCATTGGATATTTACCATATCCCTTAATTTATGCGGGGTCGTACTAGGGAATATCCAGTTAAGAAAAGGTACCAAAGATATGCACATATTAGTATGATAAAGGTGTTGTCCAGGTAAAAAATTAAGGTTAGCCCCGCCATAATGATCCACAATGGTTTTCAACAGAAGGTCATTGTATTTGTTCTTGTTTAGCAGTGTTCGGACGTTATGGGATATAAAAATTATATATTCATTAGATATCAATATAGCCAGTACTTGGTCTACTCGTTGGGTGTGACTATTGCTACTGCTTGTATTAATAGATGGTAAAATTGCTTAACACAGTCATTTTGCTCGAATACATAAACGTGTTTTATTTTTTCAAAACATGATGGACTGAAATGTTCATCACGAACTTTTGAACAAGTCAAGTTGTTGTACCCATGTATATAGTATATTTTGTCTCTTTTTATGGTTGAGGATATATGATTTGAAGTACAGTTACATATATAATTATTTGAACATTTAGAAATGTTGTTTAGGCACGAAATTGCAGTATGTAACTAACATACGTATGCAATATACTCATACACGTACATGTAAGTGGCAGGTTGTAAGGAAACAGATGCAAACAGGAAATGTGATTTAACGCAGATGCGACGTTTATTTGGTTGATAGATATCTGGAAACCTGTTAATAGTCTGTATTAATTAGTTCACTTGATTCCTTTCATCCCTTTTCAGACCTCTTATGATTTGTTGAATCCAATATCTTATATATGAGAGGAACCGTTGTGAACTTGTAATATTCCACTATAGTAGATACAGACAGAATTAAAGGAAAGATTATCTTTGTTTTAATGAATGCCTCACTCCCGTAAGATAAAAAATCTGACGACCCGTGCGACAAATTATATTATGAATTGAATTCATTTCTATATAAAAAGTACAGAAATAGGCCTACAACAATTAGTTTTTAACTTTTTATCCTGAAAATTGTATTTGAAATTTCAAAATCTGCGACACGGTAAACTGAGGAGGGGTGTTTGAGAAAACAAATGATCTAAAATTTACAGCATTTCGGTTTTAAAGGATGTCAAATTGATTAAAGTATAGAACGCTGAAAAATTATGATAAAAATGTGGGATTTAAAAAAGTGCTCCTCCCAATTTTTTCAATTTATTTTGCGAGGGACATGTTAGTTTCTGTTTATTTACAATCAATTATGCCACCAGATTCACCATTTCGCCATTATTGAGCGTTTTTTTAACTAGACCATGTCCAAAAAATTGTTGAAATTGTGAATTTCAATTTTGACCCCTTCCTTCAAATTTTGCACTACTGGACGTTAAGCAACCAACAATCAATCAATTAAAGTATAGCTGTCTAATATTTGACCAACATAACTGTAGTACTTTTGAATACACTCAAAATGAAAGATAAATTGATATTTTGTTTTACTTTATTTTCAGTCAGAAGTTGTGTTGTTAAAGTTGTTTTGAGTAGTATATAAGATAAATTTGAAATGAGTTACGTTGGGTTAGATTCGACAGTACATTTAGAGAATTTTTGAAGGCTTTAGCGTTGTTCAATTTATCAATTGAATGGAATTTAAGAAGGAAATTTACCTTTCAAATGACTCGTTACACTAAATACAAGCATAGAAATTTTGAGCCACAGTTACGTAGTAACTATGAAATTGCATTGAAGTCTTAAAGGATTGATATAAAAAAGAAGCTGTGGTATGATTGCCAATGAGACAAATCTCCACAAGAGACCAAATGACACAGAAATTAACTATAGGTCACCGTACGGCCTTCAACAATGAGCAAAGCTCATACCGCACAGTCAGCTATAAATGGCCCCGAAATGACAATGTAAAACAATAGTATGCTTTATGTGATCACTTTGCCCTTTGATGACTTGACTGTGGTGCTTCGAATTACAGCAATTGGTTAAAATCTATGACCAGTCGTGACTCGAACAGTTTGGATTGATAAAACAAAATGTGTCATTATTTTGAATGAACTGCAATGGTTGGAGAGCAACAATTAAGCAAGGCCGTAGCGTAATGGAAGGCAAATGGCTCAACTTTGAAACGACAATGAAACTCGAGAAACATATTTTTTCTACGAAATTAGGTCTTTCAAATAAAGCGAAGTTCACACTGTATTCTAGTCTCGATCACGCAGCCGCTTCAACGTATATTTATACATACTTTTGGTTAATCGAGACTAACTGCATGCATACTACGTTGCTTTTTCATTCGACAGCAACGATAGGAGCTCTATCAACACTTGTCACCGGTAAACTGACATAATTAAGTAATTAACGTAATAAGTGTTCCAAATACCATTTCCTGCGGAAAACAAAACATATATTGTTCAAAACTCTAACCTGTGCTCTAATTTCTTTTAGC